ATATATATATATATATATATATATATATATATATATATATATATATATTTCACCACCTACTGAGAATTTTACTATATCGCTGTTGATCCCGATACAACATATTCACGAATAAATTATCCGACAGTTTTTTAACCTTTTTTTACGTATCGCTAACAACGAGACATTATATCGCGCGTTTAATCTTACATTAGTTAGGTAGTCTATAGACTGATGATTATTTAAGAGAGCAAGCAAAAGAAAAAGGAGAAAGAATGAGGAATAAATAGCGAGTAGATGAGAGAGAAGAAATGAGGAATAAAAAAAGCTGCGAAAAGGAAGAGGTAATAAGAAATGGTAATGAGAAGGACCGAGACCAGGCGGGAGTAAAAATCGAGAGTGTAGGCGGTATAATAAGTATACACCATTTTTTTATTTTTTTATCTTCACAATGTGAATACTATCGTGCCGCAACGCCTACGTTATCGCCCTTTTTATCGTGATCACAGATATCAGACCGTGTCGCGCGCGACTTGATAACACAGCTACTTTGTCAAAGACACACGAATTTTTTTTTTAATATTAAATATGACGGCAAATCTTTTCACTATCTTATTAATACTCATCCACATATGTATTGTTAATTTATTAGCCTAATTTATTAATGTCAATTAATTGAATGAATAATTTAACTCACTACTTAGCGCAGTCGATAAGCTGATATTCATTACTCCTTTCAAAACTCTGCTGTACACCCCGGTCTTTCCATAGCGTCTCAACGATTTCATAAAATTCCTGAAACCAAATTTATACAGCTGTCATTTAAATACAAATATAAATTTTTCATTGATAAATATAGCTCGATAAAAAAAAAATAAATGATTGATGATTTAAAGTATTGATTAAAAAATATAATAAATGAGAATTCTAAGTGTAATTATAAAATAAAATTAAATATATATATATATATATATATATATATATATATATATATATAATAATAATTTATGAAAGAAAAAGAGCTGATATCGTTGACAAGTCTGGGATGGATAGGATATCCATGATATACCTAACAGTCTCTTAATGGTCGGTTCACCAGGTTTATAACGCGCCCGCGCGTCTATCACATTTTATTAATAAATATTCTCTTGGTTCGACGTTACTTGGGTTAATCGATTGACCAAAAGCCCATTTCTGTCCTTCGATTATTGAAGCGTTAGGTTTCGGCTTAGCCATGTGTCTATCATGAAGATATACACAGCATTCTGTGTATTTATATATATATATATATATATACATCATCATCGTTTTCCTACTCTTTCTTTTTATATATTTATATTTATTTTATTTATATCTATATATAGATTGAGGAAAATTTTTTTTTAATCCCTACAACTGTTCAATCTCATACGTTTCCGTTTTTTAGGTCAAATATAAATATTGCCATAATAATAGTAACAATAATGATGGTGATGATGATGATGATGATGATGATAATATGTACAATTGTACACGCGTATTCTAATTTTATGAAGCAACGAAAAAATAATATTGTGGTACACAGACGGCGATTGCTGACTTACCGGAGGGTAATCAAAGTCTGGGGAAGACGATACTTCCAGCACGTAGTCAACTCGGCTTTGATTTGATGGATCCTCGAGCGTCACAGGTGGCGTCAATGTGCTCATAGCACTTGTTATCGTCTGAAATAAATTTTATCATGCATATACATGTATTTTATATATAGTTGATCGTTATTTTATCATTATAATTCAACAATTGAGATGTCATTAATAAATTATTACTGATAAAAATTTTATCAACTATTTATCATTCTTCGTTAAATATTATTATTGAAAACACTTACCACGATAGCATCGCGTATGTTTTTCTTGATATCCTCTATTTTTTGTCGCTTTTCCCTGTTGATCATTCATAAATTTATTAATTAATTATCAATACTAATTACAGCAAATTAATTAAAAATTTTTAAGAATGAATTGCAAAAAAAATAAATCAATAAAAAGTATTTATTATTCAATAAATTGTCATAATAATAAAAAAATAATAACTTACGTTTCACTAAAGCCATTGACGTGCAATATCCTCATTTGTTTGACGATAGTACTCTTACCAGACTCACCCGCTCCTACAAATATCAATAGCAATTATTAGTTTTAATCCCAATAAATACCCATAATCCATATATGATTTATAATTATCAATATTTGAATTAAAAAAAAAAAAAAAAAAAGGAATAACTACAAATACATATTAAAATGCACATGATCCTGATAAAATTTTAATACCCGATTGATTTTTTTTATTACTGATAGATATCTATAAATATAAATTTGTCATCGTTATTATTTGCCGTAAAACCTGAGAGAATAAACTACTCATGTCATATGTGATAATTATACGCCAAAGAATAATGTCGTCGACAGCTGTTGCTTCTTCTTCTTCTTCTTCTTCTTCTTCGTCTTGTTACTCCTGCTCTTGTTGGTTGTCGTCGTCATTCGTGACCAGAGAGCCAGTACAGCTTATGCTTGTGCTGCTGGTATACGACCCCCCTGTCATACACAAGACGTAAAGCTCTTGGATCCAATTGGAACATCGTCCGTGATGATGTATATTACTACATGTATACACGTAGTGTCTTATATATAAAACGCACCGTTGCAAAAATAGAAAGTTGAGAGAGAATTTATGCCACAGTTGCTGATGGTTGTTTGCCTCGTTTCGATTAAACCAAATTAACTGCATAACTCTCAGTATTCATCACAAAAAATAAAAATAATAAATAAAAAAAAAACAAAACTAAAACCAAAACAATATTTTATTTTTTACTTTCAGCTTATTTTCATTCATACTATTTAATCATTCATCCATTCAGCGATCCAATAATCTATCCATCCATTCTCTTATCCATTCATCCGTTCCCTTATTTGTCCCCCCCATTCATTCATCCATGGATTGAATTATCTTAATTTTATTAAATCAATTATTCTATTAATCACTCAGTCAGTTTATCAATCGATAATTAATGTTAATATTTATTATCACTGAAATAAAAAATAAAAATAGAAAATGATTGAAATAAAAATCTTACCAAGTAACAGTAGCCGGTGGGTGGCTCTGTAAACCTGCTTGTCCTTTTGCAATTGCTTCGTAATAGCGTCTGAACGCCTCTTCTGATTCCTGCTATCATCCTGGCTAGCTTTACTACTCTGACTGCCGAAACACCCCATGACACTCACACACGAGCCCATTCACGAGGCTACTTCTTACTGTTCTTACTCTTCTACACTCAAAACCACCTACTTTTATTGTTAGACGATAATATAACTATTAATAGCAGTAATATTTATTGTCGACAATATTACTACTAATTATCTGGCTAGATATCACAACACCCACGAGTGAATAAACGCCCGTGAGTATCGCCAAAATATATTATTATTATAATAAATAATGTTATATAAATACCGTTTCAGTTATTTACTATCACAAACAGCACATAAACTTACATTGTTCTTGTCTTACCCATCTGGGGAATCAGCGAACATTGGATTATCATGAAATACCAATTAATAATAAAAATGAATAGGTATCAATAACAGACTTTTGCTCGACATGATATAATCTACCTGCAGCTATTCCCAGTGGCAATTATTAAAACTTCACAGACTAAATGTTTGATTATAAATTTACTGATGTACTTCTTCTCTTTCGAATTCAGTATTTTCCAATTAACCGGCACCTTTTTCTTCTTCCTTTTTTCGTCCTCTTCCTCGTCCTCGTCTGCCCCAGGCCCCTCCACCTTCACGATCCTCTTCTTCTTCCACTGCCAGAGCAACGACAGCAACAAAAGCACCAGCACCAGCACCAGCTATCAACAACAATAATAAAAATAATTAATATTAATACACCTTGCAAGTTGTTATCTGTTTGCTTGTCACACTCAAGGCGTCAGGGTTCTTAACACGGGCGTTACGTCTTTTATTCGTAACTCCCGGTACGGGTCTCGCAATTATGATATTTTAAAAAGATTTTTTATTTTTTTTAAATTACATAATTTATTTTTAATTAATAATAATAATTAAATAATACCTATCTAGTAATCTTTAATTTTATCTTCAATTTATTTGACATTCTTTACCATCACCATATAAATAAATAAATAAATAAATAAATAAATAAATATGTAGGTATATATATTACATTATAGACATAGATATTTATAAATTTATATTCTTCTTTTTTCTCACGCCTCTTTAACCCTCAGTTCCGGGGCACAGTTTTTTTTTTTTTATATTTTTTATTACTATATTTTTTCCTTTACCCTGTCAAATGGAGTGATATGGAGTAAAGTATACGGGGGATGGTGATAACCGCGCGCGCGCGCTCTATTTTTTCTCTCTTTCTCTCTCTCCTCTCTCTCTCTCTCTCACTCTTTTAGTTTAACACACGTATCACACACAGCACACAATCCTCCTTACCTTACACTTTTAACCCCTTTACTCTTTACAATATGTACACGTTAAGCTGGATGTTGTAGTTGTTAAACCATAACTATCTCATACACTGCACCACATCACATCATACCACAGCACACCACATAACACTGACTGGCTGGTTGGTAGCTGGCTGGCTGATTGTGACTTTATACCCGGTATTATGTATTATATATGCTGTTATAACAACGACAACGAGACTGTACTGATCTGATGTTTTGGACGGTGATGCCTGTTGAAGCGGCAGCCGCGTGTGTGATGGTAGTTTTCAAAAAGGGCGATAATCAACCGACCACCAAAAGTGTGATCAACGAACTGGCAGAATATATTCTTCAATATATGTCTCTCGTACCACTTTGATATTCTGAAACAACAATACTGTACTGTATCACTTTTTTTTCATACTTTTTTTTTTCTTTTTTTATTTAAATTACAATTTTACTATTGTAATAATAATTACATGTGTCATAATAATCATTCTAGATATTATTTAATTATTGTTATTATTATTATTATTATTATTATTATTATGATATTATGACAACTACCACTGCTGGTACATTTATGTCGGTCTAGGTCGTGTACTTGATAATAAATTATTCCACACACTGTCTACACATTGACATAGACACTGATAGACACACAAGTAATACCGTACTATTTAAATAACATCAATAATTATAAATACGATAAATAAATTTGTCTTTAATATAATATTGCCGCACCTCGTCGATTGCCGCTGGGTTAGGTGGTGCTGCTGCCGCCAGTGTTCGTCGGCCGCGACAGAACCACCACGACTATACCGCGAGAAAAAAAAAATTAATAAAATTTAATAATTGATTAAACCGAATTTCATTTTGTTTCACTTTTAAGCTGCTCTAATATGTCACACGTTATATTTAATTACACACTGTTCCCTTTTTACAAGTAGTTTTTTTTTTTTTATTATAATAATAATTATCATCCATTTATATTTTTTTATTATTTCTTCAGTAGTTGGTTTTCCTTTACACAAGTCACCGGCTTAGCTGCTGAAGAAACAACAGACTTTTAGATGTACCTCAGAGCGACACACCGTCAAGGCATGAAAATTATTCATAAATATAAAGTCAACGTCCATTATAGACATGTAAATATATGTTATATTTTTTAGTACTATAATTTAACTTAAAAGTACCGTATCACACTGTTACAAAGGACGTATCTCCATATAATTGTAATAATGAATTCACATAAAACTTTATTATTATATATTTATTTAAAATAAATAGTTGATGACACACCTTTGCACGAGTTGTTGCCGTACTGATGTGATGTATTCAGTTGAGATAGTTAGTTAGTCAGTTAGTTATAGTTATATTATGTAGTTACAAGTCGAGAAGAGTGACAAGCTACGACGACAATGACGACGACGACGACGACGACGACACGATGACACACGGAGGCGCGTGTTCATCGAGATACATACAACCTCGTCTCGTTATTTCTCGTCCCCTACTCCTTTTTATGCTCAGATTCAGATATCTAGACGCGGAGCTCCGAGTACAGTCAACAGTAACCAGCATATAATACACAACTAAACTTTAAACATTAAAATAGACTTGCCTCACTATTTTTCTATCCACCTCCAAAGTTATTACTGTACACAACATACTAAAACTAAATACACTTAACTTCAGTCTTTACCGCGATCTCACTTTATTTCAACAACCTCGAGCCTTCTGTCCAATAAATACAAGACCTCTACTCCCAGTTACAATTCCAAGTCTTGTTTTATTTTTTTAACACTAGAAACACCCTCTACTCCAATCCTCATTCACTTAAAAATTGTCTGCGCCAACAATATGACACTCGAACTAAACACTTTGCCTAAAAATTAATCCTCCATTTAATTTAATTTTATTTATTTTATATCAATTTTCCTTTCCATTTACTATCAACATTTTTTTCTTATCTATTTCTTACTCAATACATACATGTATATACATCACCATAAATATATGTCTACACCCCAGGTATTATCCATAAATACATGTACATATATACATATATATATATATATATATATAGATGTATTATAGAATTCGCGCGCGCGCGCACGCACATTTATTCACATATACATACTAGAAACTTAACCGACGTATAATTTGACGGTAAGTAGGAATTGTATCTCTTTTATAAATATATGTATATAAGTATATGTTATATACCTATATTGGTGTATAGTTATTAATAAAAGTAAAATTTAAAAATAAAATATTTACCATCTAGCAATAATAGTTGGAATGTAATAACCAGGCCTCCTTGAACTGTATCATCCCTCCGCCCTATTTTTACTTAAAAATATTTATATTAGTAGTATGATGAATAATAATAATAATAATAATAATAATAATAATATTAATAATGTGTGGATGTAGTGAGTGTTTGTGACACGGTACGAAAAGAAAAAAAATGACGGACACTGGCCGCCCCCGCACCACACACTAGTCGCCAAGCGTGTTGCGATCTCGTCGTCTTCGGACGGACCGCACGAGTCCGTCGCGTGTGCCTCCTCCTCGCGCCTCCCTCGCGTACTCCAACCTCGCTTTCAGGTTCGCTCGCGGCCACCTCACTCAAGGATCCCCGAGAAAACTCGCGACCGTAAAGTCCGAGGCGAGGTGTTCCCTGTAGCCAACATGTCGTCGTCTGTGTCTCTGTCTCTGGTGTCTCTGGTGTTGCTGCTGTTGCTGCTGCTGCTTCTAGGCCCACCACCTTGCGACGGGCCACACCACAAACACACCAGCCGTCCCGAGTAGTCAGGCGGGTTAACACATTCCATACGTGTATCGATTTACCAAGGTACCCATGTCCCCGTGGGACCAATCTCGGTAATGAGTTTCTCTGTACAACGCATGCCCTCCCCTTTTAATCCACGGGTTTTATTTCATTCTTATACAGCACTGCCGCTCACTGTCGACGACCAACCGTTCGAGGATCGATCGGCTCTTTTCGGTTATTAACAATATATGTATACATCAATATCACAATAAATATATTAATATGTCATATATTTCCTTCGCTGAGTAGAGGATTACAAGTATTGGATGTAATGGTACTTTTTTCAGCCTTTCAAGGCTCACAATCTCGGCATTTAAATTTTACCTGGAAATTTTAGTTTTTTTTTTCTTCTGAATTTAAAGATATAATTTGTAGAAAAATTTATTATTTTTTATTTATATTAATTAAATATACATAATTTTGTTTTTTAATTCTAGTATACAATTTTGAATTTTTAATTAATAATGACTAAAGCGTTTGATTTAATACAGTTTCAATTAATTAAAATAAAATTTTTTTTTTTTCTTAAATATATAATAGATTATATTTATTTATAAAATCATATGTAATGTGTATTAATTAAATTGATTGATATTTAAATCTTGATGTCTAATAAAAATACACTTTGACACTAATGGGAAATCTAATCTCACGTGTTTAAATAAATAAATGTAGGTAGTAATAAGTACTGATGAAGTAGTTTTAGCGTGCGGAAGTCGTAATAATTTATTAAGTTTTCATTCCAATTAATATTGTTTGTTTGTTGTTGTTGATGATTTAGAATTCTAATGTAAAAAAATTAGTGCACGCAATGCCAAACTCATCACCAAAATTGGCATCGTTTCAAGATGCACAACTTTCCGCACAGACAGTCATATCTCTAACCGGAATCACAGAATAACATGATTCGCAGATAGACTCAATTATTTTCACGCTCTTTCATTAATAATTAATGTCATAAACATTACGTATCAGCCTTCATATTGATCTTGTGATCAGCCTCTGAATCATTTGCTAAAATCGCATTTATGTCTATATCTTGAAGATTTATTGCGGGATTTGAGTTCGAGCCTATAAAAAATAAAAATATATTATTAAACTTAAATATTATTTATTAATATTAATCATTGAATTACCTGCATGTGCTAAAAATAAATCTTTTAAGAAACCCAATTCCTTAGAAAGCATTTTTATTTTTTCTTCTAATAATTCATTTTCTGTTTTTAATTGATTAACACGCTCTAATGTCTGCTGTGTTCTTAATTTACTTTTTACTCGTGATCGTTTTACTGCCTATTAAATTGAACAAAAAAAAAAACAATAATGAATAATCCATTAAGGTAATTGAAACAGCCAATAAATGAATAATTATTAAATATTTACCTGATTATTTCTATCACGTCGTCGACGGTAATCAACATCATCATCATCATCGTCGCTTTGTTTTTTTTTCCGATTATTTGTGTTTTCTTTGTTCTTCGGTGCCATCTGTAATAAATAAATAAATAAACTTTTTTTTTATTAATATATTTAAATAATCATAATATATATTTACGATTGTAGGTGTATTAAGATAAAATAGATTACTTAAATACAAGTATATAGAATGAAAATAAAAAATATGAATTTTTTTTCCATTATTTATCATTTAAGAACAATATTTTCTTATCTATTAATCTAAAAAATATATTTCTATTTAAAGATAATAAAAAAAAATTTTTAATCCAGTTCTTCTGTCATATATTTGATTGTTCAACATAAAATAATTTATATATATAAATATCTATACAACAATATAAAAATTTATTAATTAAACACAAATATATCTATATAAATTATTATTTATTAACATGAACTTGTGACTGATGTTTTTGAAATGTATTTTATAAGACACTGGAAATTTACACGGTCAAGCAAGGCCTTATGGATCTGTCATCATGTTGTGACACAAAAAAAATTATAAAAAAAATTCAGTGAAACAATTCACTTTATCATTCAATTAACATACTAACCTCTATTTAATTAATTTCCTTGATTTATTGATTACTTATCGATGAAAATTTTTTTTATCAGTTCAATATTAAAATAATTATTATTTAAAATTATTAAAATTATGTTTGAAGTAAAATCCACTTGTTTGACGTATTAATTTGTAACCATCACAAAAAGATGATTCACCTTTACATACGACTTAGCGAATATTGTCTAGTTATGATAAAACAGTTTTACAAGTACACTAAGTATAAATTATTGTAAGTTTTTATATATATATTTTCAGTATTTTATTTAAATAACAATCCCATTTACTTGTTATCTTGTCAGTAATTCTTGTGCAACGACAATTTCTTACTGGATTGAAAAATGATGCAATCCCTGATGCGAAATAATAACAAATAAAACATCGCGTGTTCGATCTGGCGCGTGGTAAATTCTTACTGTACATATATAACTGTACTGTGTTATCTACCTATAGCGATAGAAAACATTCACACTACAGTCGATGAACAGGTGTACCAACATGTTCAAGATAATCATTTAAGAACGAAAATTTAAATATTTTATTATTTTTCTCTTGCTGAAAAATTAACTTTAGTAGAGAGAATACAGTTTTAAATTAATTTTTCTGATAATTGACAGGAAAGAAATAAATTAAATTGATTAATATTGATAGCTTGTGCATTTTATTACAAATTCTATTAAATAGAAATTCATTAAAAGCTACAATATATATTTACAATTAGACATAATTGATAAGCATGCTAGGCATGAAATAAATTTTTAAAACTTGATTAACAATTGACAAAAAAATGAATGATGATACAAAATAAAATTGATTATAAAAAGTTGATTAACAAATCAAATAAAAAATAAAAATTATTAAAAGAATACAATTCTAGATTAAAAAATTTGGATATTTACAATTATCAAAATAAAATAAAACAATGAAAAAATGAAGTAAATATAGTGATTTAATCGCTTTCAGAGCCACTAGCACTGCTGGCGCTGCCACTTCCACTACCACTTCCGCTGGCAGACCTCGACTTTGAGGGTGATCGAGATCGTGACTTAGACTTTGAGGCAGATCTTGATCGTTCCGGTGATGCTGAGGATGATCGTGATTGTGATTTTGCCGGTGAAGGCGATCGTGATTTTGATGGAGATTTTGACGGACTCCGTGATTGGGGAGTCGCCGAACCAGATCGATTTGATTTAGCTGGACTCGCGGACTTTGATTTTGACCGAGAACGAGAACGAGAACGAGAGCGAGAGCGAGATTTGGATCGAGAAGGCGACCGAGAACGAGATTGTGACCTGGATTGAGATCTTGAACGGGAAGGAGATTTTGAACGAGATTTTGAACGAGATCGCGAACGAGACCGTGATTTGGAGCGAGATTTAGACCGTGACTTGGAACGGCTTTTAGAGCGAGATGAGGCTGCTGATGATGCTCTTGATGAAGCTCGTGAGCCTTCTTCATTGTCGCTATCTTCTGTAAAAAAAAAAAAAAAAAAAAAAAAAAAAAACAATTTAATAATAATTTGTGTAATGAAAACAAGTTTAAAGTTGACAAAATTAAATATAGTAACCATTTTGATCATTTGTCTTGTCTTCGGCTTTTCCTTGCTCTTGTTCATCGTCTTCGTCTTCATCCTCTTCTTCTTCTTCTTCCTCTTCATCTTCGTTTGGTGGCTCAAGTAGTTTTTCACGATAACGCTGCATCTTAAACTCGCTGGCCGTCAGTGGTCGATGTTTTACAGCCAGACGTGTATTATTCGGCTGCTGTCCAGCTTTTTGACGACGTTTGCTCAGTCGTACACGGGTCTCCAATTCATTGTAGTACACCTTTAAACGGATAGAAAACAAATTTACAATAAATCATCGTATAAATAAAAAATAATAATTTTTAGCCGTACAAATAACTTACTCCATCGTTTCTCATAACTAAAAAATAGTTTTCTTCGTATCCTTTAGATGACTTGCTCTTTACATTCCAGTTGTATTCTCGGGCCATTTTGTATTCGTATTCTTCATCATCTGCGTACTCAATTTCCGCAACAAAGTCTCTTCTACGTTTTTCCATAGTTTCTTCGAGAGGTAAGAAGTAAGCGACAAACTGTTCACCACTTTCGTCCATCACACCACGAATCATAGCCTGAGACATCTCTTCAATTTGAGCTGGTACAGGTCTTCCTGATGGCGCAGGATCGGAATCAAAGATAACTTGAGCGCAAGGATATTTCCACAATTTAAAGTCTGGAAACACTGGTAATACCTCCACTGGTACAACACCAGATTTACTGTAATGCTTTTCAATGGTTATTTTGTTATCTTTGAAGGTTTTGTCAATAGCTTTTATCTGGCTATCACGGTCCATATATAAGGTCTCTTCTTTGAAGTTCTTCTTCAAAGTGAAACCGACTTTAGCTTCAACTTTATCCATTGTTTGTGGCTGGAATCTCGTCTGTTCTGTAGAAATATATTCAGTTCTTCGCAACCAAGATACACTGCGCGCATGATGCCGAGATCTTTTGGAGTCTTGGGGCGTGAGAACATCTTCTTCGAGTAATTTTTCATCTGCTGGATCTAATTGGGCATTCGGATCTCCGGCGTAAGTATCGCGATTAATTAGATCTATTTCAACACCTAAATCATGCTCTGTCAGAACTTCATACTTGTAATTACGTTCTAGCGATGTTGGGTTATACTGAATGAACCTACAAAATAATTCTACTGTAGTTAACAAATAATCAATATGTTGAAAAAAAGAAAAAGGTATTTTCAGCATTTTACCTCGTCGATTCAAATGGATAGTTGATGAACTTTAAATCAAATGGTATGTCTGGTAATGTGTTGCAATATTTCACCCGACAAATTAACTCTGATCTGACAAAATTTAACAAATTTATTTTTTTTTTATTAAAAATAAACACTTACTTACAATTAAAATTAAATGTAACTGCTTTATATTTTAGGTCGTTTGTAAATAAATGCTTATCATTACCTTTTTTCGACGGGCCTTGTTGGTCGCTTTTCGCGATCAGTTGGAGTTCCATTAGTTTGGATTGTTGGAGCCATTGTTTTTAAAGAAAATAATTCTTACTTTATGAAAAAAAGTATTGGTTCATTTTACTAAAGTCGAAACTTTTTTAAAAATACTTTTCTACACTACGAGATTTATTAGTTTCACGTTTATGTTAATTAAAACATGTTAACTACTTATGAGTAAAGGTTAACTAGCACTTGCAAAGGCAAAGCCTAAAAAATACTCTTGTTTTTTAGACTTGCGAAAAGTAACAGCTAGTTGAGTAGTATGGAATATGGAGACCTCTATTGGACGTCTTCATGGTGGACCGGTTACTTGTTTCCGCCGACACTTTAGCCGAATAATAGTGCGAAAAATAGAGAATGGATAAAAAAAAATTATCACTTTTTTAATTTGATTATTAAAATAAAATATTAGTAAAAATTATACTAATATACAATAATTGAGTTTAACTTTCCCATAATTAAATGTATTGAACATAACGAAAAAATATTAAATTAATTTAATCTCAAATCTTACCAACTGATGGTTTATAATGGCATACAAATATATTTCTACTGTTTTAAATTAAAATTTAAAATTTGTCAAGTGTTAAGTTCTAATTTATTTATTTATTAAAACTTAGAATAGTAGAAAATAATACTAAAATTTAGTTTTTGAAATTTGGTAGAGGCAATTATAAAAGCGCGCCAATTTTTCGGAACCCGAATAATGATTCGGCTCAGAAGAAGCGGGTAATAATCAGACTCTCAGACCTCTCAGTCGCCAGTCGCCTCAGGTCATTCGTATAATGCCGACGCTTGCGAATGACGTTCGGTCGCGATCGCGTTTTGTTCTGTCAATATTATAATTTTTTATCTAAAAAGTAGATTATATTAATTATAAGTATTCTAGGTATCGGTGGAAAATAAAATTCCGAGCTAAATATCATTATGATTACTCAAAACGGTCTAAACGAATTGGCGTGTTAATTTGTCCGTATATTCCGCGAGAATTCTGCTTAATAAATGAATAATTATCGGGTTTCGGTTATTTTTTCGGTTTTAAGTTCAACTTTCGTCATTCTTTCGAGTAAAATTGATTATTTTATCAATTTTTTTTCATTATAATTCGACTAAAATTATATTATTCGTAAATTCGATAATGTCTGCCATTTTGACTTAGAGCGCCATCTTTGTTAAACATGACAAATCAAAATTGGCGTTTCTATTTTATCATCATCAATTACCATATATATACATACACATATTTTTTTATGCTCATATGATCGAAATCACACAAATATAACTATATGTATGTATATATAGTTTTATTTCTCTTTTTCCTTTGTATATACGAAGCAAAACTTGGTTTCGTTTTTCGTTGATGGCGATCTTCTTAAAAGTTTCAAGTACCACTGACAGTAATGTCATTTTTTACGAAAACTGTCTTATATTATTAACTATTCCGGTAAACAAAATGTGGTATAATTATTGACAATAATAATAATAATAAAAACAACAAAAAATATATACATAGAGTATTTAATAAACGTGTTATATATATAAATACAACAATATATTTATAATTTACTATCAAACACGATGTGGAAGTGTCATAAATGCGGAAAACCTGTTTATTTTGGTAAATATAACTTATATTGTTATCTTAAATTTTTTTTTAAATAAAAATAAATATTTGAATTATGAGATCTGATAGTAATGATCTATACGTATATACTTTAGTTTAATTATTGAAAAATTATTATTGTGTGTCAAGATGATTAGATACTTAATCTTTTAAATAAAGCCATGAGATAAGTCATTGTACCCATGTCAAGGTCAACTTTGTCGATAAATACTTGATATTGTTTATTTGTATTTACTGTGATTTTGCTAAAGATTCTAGTTTTAGATATTTAATGCTCTTATTATTACAGCTGAAAGAAAACAATCGTTGGGCTACGATTGGCATCCTGAATGTTTAAGATGCGAGGAATGTGGTAAAAGATTAAATCCAGGCCAACACGCTGAGGTATTATATTTTAATATTAAAATTGGCTCTAGTTGTAAACAATTGTGATTATTTTACAGCATAAAGGAGTGCCTTACTGCCATGTCCCTTGTTACGGTGCGTTGTTCGGTCCTCAGCTGTTTGGTCATGGTACTAGAGTTGAATCTCATACAAGTTTTGGTAAAAAAGAACCTCGGTCAACTTTACCAAGGTAATATATTTATAAAAATTATAGAAAAAAGTTTTCATTTTTATTTTTATGATGTTAATTTAATTTTTATATTATAGATCGCATTTAGAAACAAAGTTAAAAATTTTTAATCAGTATTATGAGGGCAAAAGTGGTGGGATAAGGAGCAGAGAAGTAAATGGAAGATTAATTCTCGAAGGTGCTTTAAGAATTTATTGGGGAGTACGGGGTGTGATTCATTTAAAGGAAGATGATGATCAACGAACAGTTGTAACAGCAAGAAATCGGAATTCCTGTCGACGAAGTGTTGCTGAAAAAGTTGAAGATGAAGATGAAGATGATGATGATAATGATAATGATAATGATAATGATCATGAGAATAAAAAACGTACCAACCCAAGTGACAAAGATTTATCACCAACAGAAAGTCATTTGGAAAGCGAGCCGAATTCCGTGCCTACGTCACCAGATCACTTGAAAAGCCTCACGCTACCGATGAAACTCGATGTGAAGAATATGGAACTAGATGAATTAGATGAGCTGCTGCAAGTTGAACGAAAAGTTGAGGACGGTGATAAATTGTATCAAACAATGCCGGAAAATTTGCCATCAATGTCACACTCTGTGACTGAAACTTCTCAGTCAGCTAGTCAGTCAAGTCTTGATGGACCAACGGAGAATCGAAGTTCAATGGCCAACAGTAGCGCTAGTTCTCAAACTAAAACAAATGACAGTAGTATCAACAGTACACCGACGCACAGCTTAGATAGTACTTCCTCCAGCACTGACACTCCTAATAATTGCCATGGAACTCCTAATAGAAATGGTAACTTACGTAGAGTTGAGTACTATGATAGTTTGGAGAAGAACAGCAACAGTCGTAGAATGAGTAATGATGATAGCTGGATCGAGAAAGGATTAAATCGCTCGATGTCTGGGCCTGATTGCCTTCAAAGACATCGCGAGGACAGTGACACTGATTCTGTAAATTCCCTGCACTTTCGCGATGATGACAATATGACTATGTCGACGGACAGCGGATTGGAGCTTGATGGCGTTGTCTTACGTCGAAAACAAGGCTCTACTGCAATACGTCGACGTCCTGGTGGCAGGAGACAGTCTCGAAGTCGATTGCGTCGTCGCTGTTCTATCAATGGGCATTTTTATAACCGTGAAACAAGTTTCTTTACTCCACCACATGGGTCACAAATGTCTGTCTGGGTTACTAGTCTTGTTAGCACTCAAGAAGTTATCAACTTAATGCTCGATAAATATAAAGTCGACGCTAAACCTGATAACTTTGCTTTGTTTGTTGTACGGGACAATGGAGGTAAAATTAAAATTAATTTTTTTAATTAGAATATTCGATATTGGATTTTAATTAGGTTATTAATGAATGATTATTATTTTTAGAACAACGCAGATTAAGAGACGATGAATATCCTCTTGAAGTCCGTGTAGCTCTTGGACCACATGAAAATGTTGCTCGTCTTTTTCTCGTCGACAAATTATCGACACCTGAAATAAGCTCGGACGTCGCGCAATTTTTAAATCTTTCATTAGCTGAGTGTCAGGGTATTTTGCAACGATATCATTACGAAGAAGAGAAACAGATTTTGTTATTAAAAGAAAAGTTAGTTGACAAGTTTATCATTTACTCGATTAACTTTGACACAATCAAATGACTTATTGTATTCTATTTTTGTTATTTCAAGGTACAAGGAAATGCGGCGGAGAATCAAACAACGAATGGAAGATCTGAAAGTCCGGTTATAGGTGAGAAATGAGATTAAATTTTCTTTTTTTAGAACTTTTTATTAAATTAGTTCTTGTTTTCTTCCAATTACTAGTATTCTCAATCGAGATAGTCTATCATTTTTATTTTAAGCACATCAAGTGCTAACATGAATTGCTCTTTCGAATAGGATTATTTTTATTTTTTTTTTAATTAATTTTTTTATCAATATGTTACCTGAAGTGAGTTTACATTCAGAACAAATATAATGAATTCGATGGTAATAAATAATTGAACATTGACGTGTCTACATATCGATTGTTTATCTTTCGAGTTAAAAAGGCTGGCAAATTCAAATTAATTTTTTAATTAATCAAAAATATATAGGGTTAAGCATGCTTTTACTAACGTACTTTTTTTAAATATTTACATTATTGAGCTTTATTTTACGGAGTTATGCATTATAATTCAATCGCATAAGTAAATTTTAAAATGCAATGAGTTTATGATAATGATTTTTATATATCTGATAGCTGATTATAAAAAAATTAACTTAGATGAATTGAAAGTAGTAATTAAGTTCTTATATAAATACTTCGTATTCTAATCATATAATAATATTTTTAAGTTGTCATTTAATATATTTTAAAAATCTTTATTGGAAAAAAAAAATTAATCAAAAGCATTCTGCTTTTATACTCAGTTCAGTATAAAAAAAATAATGATAGTCATAATAGAGAATCATAGACTAATGATTTTATAACTGCAATAGAAATAATAAATAATTTATCATTCCTCAAATTTAAATATTTATACCAATAATGCATTAGTTTGCATTTTTATTTTTTTCTAATGAAATTTTTACAATTCTTCCAATGAAAAAAGAATTATTACATTATATCTCTAATTAAAACAAAAATTTTATGTTATTGACTTTTCATAAAATTTTAATATTTCACTGACTAAACTAATAAATAAAATAGTTAACATTATTATATTTTATATATTTTTGCTAAATATGAGTTTAATAAAAATGAACGAAAAATAATCACTGATACTAGTTTTGAAAAAGAGTATTATCAATTAAAAAATTTCTAGTTTAAAAAATATTCATTTCAATAATATATTGACAATATTTTACGATCTTTTTGAAAGATTATTACTTATTACATAATAACTTCTTCCAACTGGAGTGTTGAGAATTTGTTAGAAAAAGTAATAAAGCGACTAACTTTTAAAGTTTATATTTATCTTACATTAATTAAGAAAATTAAAGTAGTAAAATACATACCTAGTTTTCATTAGCTTGGTTAAAAGGAAGAATAAAGTTGAACTGCCAGTAATGTTTGAGTAAGGTCTGATACAGTGATAAAAAAATAGTTTAAAATGACTAATTAGATGAAAGTTGATCTAAAGAAATTAAATGAAAAGAAAAATATTTTTAACCATGACATTAATAACTATCTATTAAATAAATAAATATCTCTGCTGTGGTACACGAATGTTAGATAAAAGAAATAAAAATTAACTATAGATAATAATTTGTAATATATAAAAATGTAACGCTGAATTGTAAGGAGCAAATTATAATACTATAAATAAAAAAATTAACACTGTTTACTCTTTATAATGAAACAAAAATTCGTTTTTTATTTTTCCATGGGTGAATTTTTAAGTGTTACCCGTGTGAATGAAAGAGTAAATGAGTTAATTGTGAGGTAAAAAGTTGATTGAAAGAAAAAAATTCCAATCCTTTTCCTCCTTCATTTTCAATTTTTTAATTTTAAAGCTTAGATATTTTCAGACACTCTACAGGATGATTTAGGGTAATTATAGGGTGACATTAGTTGCTCACGTTTTTTTTCTAATTAAAATGATTAATATATAAATTTTACGAACAATATTAACAGTAGTATTACTATCATCAATAATAAATAATAGACAGTTTATGCATTTGGACAGAATGTATTTTATTTATTTTGTTGAATAAGTAGATTAAAATGTTTTTTTTTTTATTAGTACGAATAATTATCATCATCGTCGTCATCATCATAATAATAATTATACGGGTTGATAGGATTAGATAAAGAATTTTTCTCATTACTTAAATCCAACAACACCGTGGAGCTTAGTCGCTTAATTTTAATTATTTTCATGACATCGACATAAGTTTAATATTATGAAATCAAATGTAACAATTTATTTTTTATAATTTGCTACGATTCTCTTTTCAATTATTAACAGTGTAGTATCTAATAATACACTTGTGAGTTATATAAATTATTTTCGGCGTTAATAGAATATTTATTTATTTATAATAATGTTAAAAATGATCGAGTATAATTTAATACTTATATCGTCATGTTGCGAAACTGCTCCTTTTTTTTTTTTTTTTTTTTTTGAGTAATCGATATCTGCACTTATCCATACGAATTTACACGTTTTTTTTATTAAAATCCCCAAAGCAATAACAATATTACATATGCTTTGAGAACTAACTACATTGTTTCCATATTAAAAACAAGTGTGCTTTGGTTAAATTTTTTAAAATAATTTATCATTAGTAATATAGTTATGTTGGTTTGTTATTTTAAAATCATTCAAATATTAGCTATAGCTTTTTAATTTGTCAATTGGATTTAAAAATAAAACGGACAAAATTTAACTAGTGAGCTGTACTGGGGATAGTTTGGTGACGATGTTGCGAACTCGATTATCACAATCTGGCAAAATATAAGCCTTACAAAAAATACAATACGTGTTCGCCACATTATCGATAACCAGTGGTGTGTATTGCTCATTAAAATTGCCTGGATGCACGTCTGCGATTATTTTTTATTTATTATTCTAGCAATATTTTATTTTTACTTCAGTTGCGTGTTTATATCATCTTTTCAATTATCCTCTCGTGATTAACATTCTTCTTCGGCTAAATAAATTATTTCAATTTAAATAATTAATATTATTGTACAGATAATTCATAATTCGTTTTCAAATTTTTACACATATATGCTATAGTTTATTAAATATTAGGACACTTCTATTCATGCGTAACAAAGTCTTTTTTTCAGGACTTTTTTTTACGTATTAATAGTCACGCCTTGAATATTAATGTAAAATAATATCTGACAGGACGAGTAGAATTCAAATTTAATTTTACATCTTGAAGTAATTTTAATTGTACCGTTAAATTATTTATCAAATATTTAGTACCAGTTAATTGTCAATACATTTTTTCCGATTGTTATCAGTATTCACTTAAATTGAAATTTATAATTTATCAAATGAAATTTTTACTATTTTGTTTTTAAACTCTCATTTAATAATTGATAATTACTCTTCAATACTTAACATTGACAATTGTAACATGTTATGGAACTGGCTTGCGTGATTACGACTAAATTATCGATCAAAACTACAACCTAGCATTAATGTATTTTATACTTACTGCAGAGCGATTATTTAGTTAATTGAGGGAAAAAATTTATTTCTGTATAAAAAAATTATACAGTAACTATTCGTAATATTTTCAACATACAATCGGAAAAAGTTTTTAGCAATCAAAATTTAGATTACAAAAAAAAAAAGAATAACAATTTTCCATATTTAAGTAAATATTAATTAATTAAAATTTATTTTAATCTAGACTTGAATGTAAGTGCTGAAGTATAATAATGAATTATTCAATCCCGATTTTTTATCAATTAAATTTTTAAATATTGTATTAAAATTTGAATAATTAAGATCGATGTGACTATATATAAATTATAGTGCCTCAGAATTCAAATTAATGAGTAATAACAAGTAAAAAGTGATGGAAGAAAAATATTATTAATTACAATTATCCTAATTAAAGAAAGGCAACTAAAAATACATACACATACACATTCTCGTCTAAAATTCGATGTGTTCGTCCTCAACAATAACAATTGAATATGAATTAGAAAAATAACATTATATTGTAGACAACAACTGTTTATATCGTGTATATTATAGTGTAGCGGTATTTTAATATTTATATTTATTGTGTATATATAATATATATATTTATATTTTGTTTTCAATCATCATCGTTATCATTATTTTATTTATATATTTATAATTCATGTATATAATTTATATCATAATAATTTTATTTCATTTTATTAATTTACACACACCATTGGCGCGAGGTGTATTTTTTTTTGCTTTTCACTTATCAGATGTATTTATTTTTTATTTTTATTTATCGGTCAATTATTATTTTGGTCGATTAAATATACATAAAACTATAAGAGCAATCGGATCGGATTTAAAATGACATTTTGTACCAATATTTAAATTGTTAAATTGAAAGAGCAAGTTCTGTAATAATACATATTATAATATTTAGGTATCATTGTTTTATTCTTGTATTACTTTCATCTAAAAACTGCACATTGTTGTTGTTATTATCATCATCATTATTAAATACTTATTTGTGTAAACTATAAAACGAAGGACGAATGATAATTAGATTATGAATTTACCTTCGTCACCTCGCGTCATTGGACGAATTGCGGACAGAATTGTGACGGTGTATGACTTTATTAGTTCATTTCATTTATTTTTGTTCTTAAAACTTAACTGTGCTCACTTATTAATTTAAATACATGGACAGCTAAACATATACTATGGAAAAATTTTATGTCACTTGTACAACAGACATTAATTATAATTTATTATTATTGTTATTATTCTATTCATATATTTATATATGTATAGCTATTATCATTACAATTATAATAATAATAATCATTATTATTATTAATATGGTAATAATTTATAAATAATATTTATAATACAGTTAGATTGCTCATTGTCAATTCATCAATTATCACATTTAGTATAAGTTAAAAAATATTTCTAACATTTATTATGTTTTTATAATGCGTGAGCATTTTGCGATTTGCGAAATCGACTTTTTTTTTACATTATTTTTTCTTTTTTTTTACTTTTTTGTGACATTTTTTATTTTTTTTATCGCATTACGCACTTTGCTAATGCATTTTTTATTCATGTTACATCATTTAT